TATATATATTAAGCTATGGTGTGGCATTCTTTGGCATCCAGGTACTTAAATGTCTAAACTTTACATTTTAGGTACCAAAATGGAAGTTCTGAAAGTATGTTATTCAAAATAGGAATCAAGTTAAAGTACGTTACCTTTTCATACAATTTGCCTGTCCTGATATGCCATTAGCATTCTGTATTATTGTTTTGAATCATAAACAATAGTTTATGACTGTTGATAGGTGATTCAGATTTATTAGTTGCGTTAAAACACTAGCACCTCTTACTTTTTTTGTCATGTAACACCTATGCTTTATGTTTCCAGCCACCTTCCTTTGCTAGGGAAACACCAGAATCAATCATAACGCTTGTTGAGGATAAATATCTCCTCCCAAGATTGGATCCTGATGAATTTTCTGCCGAAAACTCTGGAAGGCAGTGGGAGTTTGAGTGGTTTGATCAAGCAAAAATTCACTTAGAGCCAAAATTGCCACGGTCTGTTGTAGTACCTGCATGGGAATTACCATTTAGACAGCCAGAGCGTGCATCAGAGCTTGAGAAATGGGAACCTGCATCTGTGCAGGTAGCTAATGCTGATGTCTGTACTGTGCACTATTTTTAGATTTGTAAAAAGCTACTGCAAGCAATGTTAAAACTCAATATTATTCTTTAAGGTAAATAGAGTGGAGTACTTAAATTGGTTATCAAGATTCAATGATGGGTTGCAAATTCGAAGATTAAATTGTATTATTTTAAATCGTATGAATTGGTTACTTTTGTTCACATATTTGGTTTGTTATATATTATTATTTTCAGGTTTTTTAAAAATAAATACAGGATTTATGTATTTTTAATTTTTTTTTAATTTTTTACAAATTTGCGACGGATTAGCTAGGGAAAATCCGTCGCTAAAAGTGCTTGAAATTCCCTCGCAAATCCGTCGCTGAAAGTTCCCTCCCAAATCCGTCGCTGAAAGTTCCCTCGCAAATCCGTCGCTGATAATTCCCTCGCAAATCCGTCGCTGAAAGTTCCCTCGCAAATCCGTCGCTGATCCGTCGCTAATGACTTCCCTCGCTGATCCGTCGCTGAAAGTGTCCGTCGCAAATCCGTCGCTGATTTCCGTCGCTGATCCGTCGCTGATAGCATTACCTACGACTGTTTGACCGACGGAGTATCAGCGACGGATCAGCGACGGAAATCACTTTCAGCGACGGATCAGCGAGGGAATTTTCCCTCGCTGATACTCTGCATTTTTGTAGTGTTATATATACTCTCGATTGCCTTACATAAAACAACAATCCCTGAATGGTTTGAGGAGGTAGCTACAAGGGTTTGTCTGGTTGAAGTCAATGCAATTGTCGTGCTCCCTATTGTAAATTCTTATCTCGTGTGGGAACAACATTTGTATGGGACGGAGAGATACCTAATGTCAGTATACCCTACCAAGACATTATTTCGTATTTTGAATAAGAGCTGATATTTTTGCCGCTCACATACTTTGTAGGTATTGAAGTTTCATTATCACTCCCATTTCCCCCATGTAGGGATAGAATAAGGCCACGTCAATGGTGTCGACATATATATATATATATATATATATATATTTGCTAGAATAAGGAATACCCTAGTAACCTTTATCTGACAGTATGCACATGTGCATAACATGCACACGTACATAAAAACCAAAAAACAACTTTGGTTACCTGTATGCACATGTGCATATCGTCCGGATGAACATATGAACGGTTACCAGGTTCATTTTTTTGAGGTTTTCCCCTTTAACCTTCATTTTTTTGAGGTTTTCCCCTTTAACCTTCTTCTAGATATACATTATATATATATATATATATTATCAAATGTGCCTCCAAAGTCATGCATGGGGATTTCTTCACATTATTATGCATGAAAATGGGTTTCAAAAGTCATGCATGGAAGAAAGTCCGAAGATTTGTTTGCTGATTGGAAAGTCCAAAAGGTTATCGACTCTTTCTAAACTAGTTTCCAGCCATGCCTTCCAAGAGACACACCATTCTCGTAATGCATAACTCTCCCATCAATATATACTAGTTTTGTATAGCATACGATTGGTATCGATATCATCGTTTTCTCCGTTTCTCAAGAATTGTAACATCGATTGATTATAGTAGATTTCTCAGTGGTCTCTTCCATCCGTGGTTTTTTCCCCCTGTTTTGGGGTTTTCACGTAAATCCGCTGTCGTTTTCTATCTCTTATTATTTCCATCAAGTACATTATTGTTTGTGGTTGATTATTGTTCCGTTGAGAGTTTGAGTTTATCGTTTACGCATTATAAAAACATTTGAGTTTATTTTGGGTCTTGGGTAAATTCGACTAAGGTTCTATTTGATTTTGATCTCGGTTTTCTAGGTTGGATCAACATTGATGTGGTCGATATTTGCAACAAAGATTTCAATCGTTACACTCACAACTAAAGCTAATTTCGATATTTTCTGATTCATTTTATCGTTCCCTGTACTAGTGTGGGTCCCATGTGTTGCATGGTAGCGCTAAATATAAAAAGGAGGTCAAAGCGTAATTCTTCGGTTAATAATTAATGAGATACCATTTAACATGAAGAATATATTTCCATAAGTGGTTCAACAGTGGTTCAGTAACCACATAAGCGAACACAAACGAAAGACAGTGGTTCAACAGTGGTTCTATAACTAGAACCCTATATTATATAATGTCATATTAACTATGTGTACAAACAAACTAACATAACCCAGATGCCATGGCCATTTCTTTTGCAATCTATCTGATTTGAAAGTTCAATTTATGTAAGCAATACGCATATATTGACGCGAACAAGACAGTGAAAACAACTAAAATGGTAGCAACTGATCCCAAAGCATCGGCATTATATCCGAAATAGCTTTGGACATACCATTTTATTGTTGGGTCATAGGACATCCCAGGTACCTTAATGGTTTCATCCAAGTCACCATACTGTGAAATGATCAGTCCCTGAATAGTCCATTGCAGTGGGCATATCCAATAGTACCACATCCACCACTTGGGGATTCTCTGAAATTTTAGGAAGGAAAAATCATTAGTGATGGAGGTATTATATTACTCTATTAAGAGCAGTTGTTATTAAGAACTCGAAATTACAAACATTACCGGTCTTGGGATGAAGAATCCAGAGAAAAGATTGAAGAGCACATTGATCGCAGCGGCAAAGATAGACGCCGCTTGGTGGTTTGGGGTGATGGACACTATCATCAGCCCATAGCATGTGAAGTATAAAAAGGTAAAGAAGCTGATGAAGAAGAACCAGAAGAATTTGGCCACCGTCCATTCGAAGCTTAGCATGGCATATAGTATAAGAGTATAGTACATGGTTTGAACAAGCACAAAAGGTAGTTCCACAATTATCTGCATGTGACAAGTGGTAACAAGAAATGGACATCATTATTTGGAAAGCCTTCAATATGAGTTTATCTTTATCATGTGGTGGTTGTTTACTGCAATGAGTGTTGCTGGCAGTCTCATGTTAGAACATTCTTTGACTCTTTCTCCTGATATTTTTGAGGCTGCCATTTATAGTAAATTTGTTTTGCAAGATGATATTGTACAACAATAGTATTCAGTACTCAGCCTGCTCCAGATGGAGTTGCTGTAACATTCTCAATTCAAGATCACTCTTTCCTTTTGTGATCTAATGATCTATGATTTTTATGCACCCTTGCTATTTGAAATAAGAGATTCAAGGATTAAATTTTTGACTAGATATGTAGTACTGGTGACACATATTGATGCATGTTTCTTTAGTAGTGACCTTGACCTCATTTATGAGGTGATGAAAGCGAAATAGTGAACGCCAAATGTCATGAAAAGAAATGGAACATAGAATGCAACCAGAGTTAGTACAGTTGATACTTTGAAACTATTAAGCATGATCAAATCCATCATATAGTTTAATTTAGATTAGGCAGAGGTATTTTTGGATGCTGGATTGGTCATGTCTAATAAGCTGGTTGCATATGAACACATATATGTATATGTGGTAGGTGAAGAGATCAAGTATTAAAAGGCATAAGTTATGATGATAAATTACATCATCTTAATATTGGAATGTACATGCTGACTGTTCATAAGCATAGGTGTGTTAGAAATAGCGAGGATTGTCTAGTGCTAGATAGCATAAATGAAGTTCTATCTAACCTGTGCCATGGCATATGGTAATGAAGAGTACATCCCAGCAGCCCTTTCTCGATAAAATACTGTTCTTTCAAGGGATGCCACTGGTAGTATTGTTACGCAATTGTTAAATCCAGCAAACATCACAGAAACATACATTGCACCAATTATGGTAGTCAAATCAGTACTGCTATCCCTGTGATATAGAGTGTAGATAAGGGGAGATTGGAAAACAGATGTGAGTCTTGTTTCAATATGTTCCTGAATGGGAATTCGAGTCTGGATATTTTAGAAACAGACCTTTTAGTGCCAACTTTCCAAAAAATTGTCCCCAGCAAGAGAGCAGTAACCAATGCAAAGAAAAATCTAACAAGATTATAATCAGGGGTTCTCCAATAACTCCACCATTGTTTTTGTATGCAAGACTTGAATTGGCCCCACATGGACTGGGAATACATTGTGTTGAAATGCAGTTCTTTATCCCCAGAAGGAGGTGTGCTTAGTTCTTCCACTAGAGCTGTATTTCTTCTGCTCAAAAGTTCACGTGTTAGTTTTCTAGTCCTCACTCGTGATCAAGAACTTAATAGTCTTAACTAACTTCAAGATTCACTTACTTATACAAGGGTGATGATCTGTAGTGTTCAGAGAAATCGATTCCAAGCCGGGATTCTGCAGAATCTGAACTCACTTCCAGCATCCATGTTGCTGGATTGTACTGGGCTTTGAGTTTTGAGACCCCAGGAATTTCCTAAAATATATTATAGCAAGTTTAACTTATTCTTTGATACGGATATAATGAAAATAGGGATCAGATAGTGCTAAATACCTCAAAGTAGTTGATCATTTTTTCTGAGTTTTGGCCCAAGGGTCCAAAGTATATTACTTGTCCTCCTCTTTTCAGTAGCAGCAGCTGATGCAATATATAGCAGAAGTATGAGAGAAAGAGAATTAGAGAGAAATATTTGATTTCAATACCTTACCTCATCAAAGGCTTCAAAAATATCAATGCTAGGCTGGTGAATTGTGCACACAACAGTTCTTCCTGTGTCCACTGTGTTCCTCACAGTCCTCATAACAATTGCTGCTGCTCTTGCATCAAGCCCTGATGTTGGTTCATCCATAAATATGATTGAAGGATTAGCAACAAGCTCTACTGCAATTGTCAGTCTCTTTCTCTGTTGAGTTGACAAACCACTAACCCCTGGAACCCCTACAATAGAGTCTTTAAGGTTATCTAATTCCACTAAATCCATAACTTGAGTCACGAAAAGCTGCATAGAGCAAAAACAGCTTAATTTAGTACTTCTCCATATTACTTATGTTGAACAAGGTTTTGTGATTTTTATCTACTTTACCATTTTTACTTCTTTGCTCACTTCTTCAGGGAGTCGCAGGAAAGCTGAGAAAACCAGAGATTCATGGACAGTGACTTGTGGTGAGTGGATATCACTCTGCTCACAGTATCCTGAAACCCTTGCAAAAGTTTCTTGTTTCTTGGGGAATCCAGATATTTTAATATCTCCTTCAATCAAACCACCAGTTTTCCTTCCTGCTAAAACATCCATCAATGTTGTTTTGCCAGCTCCACTTACTCCCATCAATGCTGTCAGAACTCCAGGCCTAAATGCACCGGTTATCTCTCGAAGCAATTGAAGTTTGTCCTTTGTGATCCCTTGTTCTATCATTTCCTGTTAGATTGATTATTACAAAGTAGTTCATTTGGTAAGTTGTATGATATATATCAGCCAAGTTTAGCCTCAATGATGAAGTTGTAACGTGAAAAAGAAAATATTTATTCAAGTGATTGTGGCTCTACTGAATACTAATTTCAACATGCAAACAGTTGCATGATAAATGTACTTAGGAAAGTTAATTGGCGGTAACTTGGACATGTGCTTGTATGTACTGATATGAGCAATAAATGATCTTGAAACTTATTTTCCGGAATTTTGAAACTTGCATCATTATTACAAAGCTGACGGTCACCTACTTGATCATCCAACCGATGTTTTTGTAGATAACAGTTGTCTATCAAGGATAATTTTCGGTTTAAACTAACTCCAAGTTTTGAAGCCAATACTATCATGGACAAAAGACTTGGAAGCTGTTAGTCAAAGCTAGCTTCTGGCACTGCTTATGAATTTTGTGCTTTGTAACACAAACAGGTGGTAGGGATTTGTACCTTCAAAACTTGATTCTGTGAGGTTAATTTCTAACTTTATGCAGAATAAAGTCGAAAGTTAACCTCAAGGAATCAAGTTTTGAAGTTATGAACCATCTGTTTGACTTACAAAGAACACAAATCATAATGAGAGGAGAGAAGTAAAAGTGGTTCTTACTGGGGGCATATCGATGTAGTAACTGATGCTGTCGAAAGACATGCAAAGTGGAGTAAATGGAAGAACCATCCCTCTCTTTGAAGCAATGGGATTGGTGACTTGAAGAGTTGAATATTCTTGTATATCCTGTTTGTTTGCTTTGGGTAGGGTGCTCAATTTTCGGACTTCTGCATCTCGTGAGAACAACAATATGAGGAATTAAGATGGAAAATGTATGTGTTTTTTTTGGCTGATAATTCCCTTACCTGGAGAATATACATCCAAAGGTGTCATGGATTGAGGAAGCATCTCCTGTTTCAGCTGTGGCTTTCCATAAGGTTTGTTATGGAAGTCTTCCTTCTCCTTGACAATCTCTTTAGATATAATTGCTTGTGCCTTTCTGAGTGCTAATATATTGCAAGAAATAAGTCAACTTGATAGATCTAGATTTCTACTTCAGCATAAAAAATGGAGTGGAACTTACGGTTTAAGTATGTTAGAGCCAAAGTTAACAAGAAGTTAAAAAGAAGTGCAAAACCAAGAAGAGCAGCAGCTCCAATCCAAAACTTGTTCCTATCAGGAGTGATGTCGAAGGTCCTCAACACTGCTACTCCAAGTTCAGTAACATTGTCGGAAGCCTGAGTTCAGAGGAATTCTTTACTTAACAATTGACATTATTTCCAGTTACACCAAGTAGGCTTGACTAGGACAAAGAAAGGAAGCAAGTATAAAACAAAGTACATACCAATTTGTTCATCCATCTTGGAGCAGACATCTCATTAACAGTTATGGCATTAAAACCATAGCTGAAAGGCGAAACCCAATAAGCCCATCCCCACCAGCTTGGAATTTGACCTATTACAATTAAGAAGAAGTAAATTAATGTAGTGAGCAATTAATGATGATGATCATAAACTTGCTCTTATCATGGAGTATGTGCATGTGCTTCTCAAAAATAATTATTATAGCCAAACAACACCACAAGTCCTACACTATTTGTATTAGATGATATGTTTATCTAGGATTTTAATGTGAGACTAACCTTTAGGGAGGAGGAAACCACCCACAAGGAAAGCTAGTTCCACAACAAGAACTCCACCAGTATTGGCAATTGTCATGGTCCTGCAGACTGAAGCAATGAACCTGAATAGTCCCCCAGCCATTTGTTGGATCAGAAATGTCAAGAGGAAATGCTTGAAGAACCTGAAAGGTTGAGATTTCATTTGCGGATCATATTAGTTGCAAGACGCAAACACTGGTGAATTTAGTGTTAGTCATTTAACACGTTGGTAGAATGACCGCCTTAAAACTTTCTTTTAAATCCATGACCTTCTGATATTGTCAAGCATCCCACTTCGATAGATCAGAATGCCACGAAAAAGTATCAAAATGAAAAGAAATTGTTTGAAAACTCAGATTGCATTATGCATTTGGATTTCTCCGTTTCATAGTTTTTCCTCAAAATTCAGGCGTCGTTTCGTTTGATGGATTGGTTTCGAGAGATTTAAATTTCATGGAAAGATTTCGAATTAGAGGGTTTGGTGTGTAAGATTTAGAATGAAACTGAATTCATTTTTTATATAAATAATTTATAAAAACAAACTATAAACAACTATAAAAAATTAAATTACCTTTGTATTACACACAAATCCTATGAAATCCCATAAAATACCAACATCATATGTTTGTGGGATTTCAATGGAATTCCAGGATTTCAAATTCAGGAAATCACTCAAACCAAACATAGGATTTGAATGGAATTGAATTCAAATCCCTCTAAATCTTTTCCAATCCTACAAACCATAGCTTATAATATGCTCTTTCTTTTTATTCGCTTGTCTTATTTATCCTCTACAAGATCCATAATCATATTGAAAGATGACCACCGAGTAGATCATTTATGGTTTTATGTTTGTACTACATTGATCCATAATCTTATAATACACCCTCTACATACATACTTTTGTAGAACACCCTGCTAACTTAAGCATCAGAGACTTTATCCCTAAGAACTGCCTGTAGCTTGAATACACCACGATCTTGACTATTACAATTTCATACAGTTTATTTCCCACATCACACTGTTCCTCACAGTTATCTTTCATTGTGCTTGCTTCTTTAAGTTACAGGTGGCTCTCCATGCATAGTTGTATTATTTACATAATTGTGGAAAATGGTCATTTATCTTTTGATTTCGACTTGCATAATGCATATAGTTTTATGATCTGCACTGGGTCATGTAGATGTGTATTCATGTGTAACGTACTCAAGTATGTTGATGGGACACAAAAGGGGAACCATGTCATTAATATGTCTAAGACATGATGGTACTATATCAAAAATATTCATCCTAACATGTGAGTTCGAGCTTGGTAGCAGGGGAAATATGTGGATTGGAAACTTGTTTTCGTTTCATGTGTGTTACTTGAAGTCCACGCTTTTCCATCCGAGTAAGAAAAACTTATGTTATGTATTTGGATTCTATCTATGTTACAAGAAGTGTATTAATAAGTTGAAAAAAATGAAGAATTTGTCACTTACCTGCTTGCTTCAGGGGCAAATCCGATGATGCTGTATGTCACAACCGTCCAGACAGTAGAATCTACCATGGATGTCGGCACACCAAGCAGGAAAGTTGGAATGGTGAATGCCCAAGGTGGGTGAAAGAGGAGGTCCCTCTGCTTGTATATTACAGGAAGTCTCTCTATGATCATTGGTAGTTCAGCGAAAGCATTGAAGGTGTTAGTGATCAAGCCAAACAAAAGAGCACCCACATACATTGCTCCATCTTCTTCATTGTTGGTGTGCATGTTAGTCCTCAAGAATACCGTTGCTCCAATAATTGCTACAATGGTGGTTTGCACAAGCTTGGCAATATGGACAACAGAATTTCTCTTTATTAATAAACATTCCTTCTGAAAAGAGGCCTTGAGAAGCTCCATCTTTGGGACCAAATACTTTCTGAAGACTAGCGCAGATTTATGACTCTTGGACTTGTCATATGCTACTGATAGCTTGTCTTGTAGCCATAGGCCCACATGAAATTTTTTGAATGACTCCGCAAACTGAGATACTGAAATATATTTGTATGCTTTGCTTTTGTCTTCCCAATATTGTTCCTGATCCTTCCTTGAGGTGACCTTTAATCATTAAAATAGCCAGGATCAATCAAATGTCTCAGTGTGTCTCAATTTCAATTGCAGTTTGTACACATGCTTGTATTCTGAAAAGGGAATTTGTGTCTTGTGTTGGCTACAAAATTTGCAATGGAAACTGCTCTAACCAATTATAGTTGACAGTAGATAAATGGTGCTTTAAAATTTCGTTTTGCAATTAGTGGTGCTACAGTCAAAAGACATTTGTGGATATGTACTAAACTAGCTCTTTATACTTAAAGCATATAAAAAAATGAGGTTGTAGGAAATCATAAATGGCAAAGCATTCATGGCCATGAGCAGTTGATCTTTGAAAATTTAAAACTGATATTGATTTCTGGATTCTAAAATTTATATTTCTGTAGAACCCTTTATAGTTAAGCAGGGAATTTGATATTGGATGATACCTCTTGCAGAAAGTCGGCATGCCCCTTTCTATCTGGACATCTGAATCCACATGTCTCAAAAAATTCAAGAACATGCTTTTTTGGGCCCTGATAGACAATCTGGCCTTGTGATAAAAGGATAACGTCGTCAAAGAGATCAAAGGTCTCAGGCGAAGGCTGGAGGAGGGACATCAAGATTGTGGTATTTGTCAGGTGTGCAATCTGTTGTAAGCACTTCACTATTTGAAATGTTGTTGAACTGTCTAGGCCAGTTGATATGTCATCCATGAAGAGTGTTTTTGTAGGTCCAACCATCATCTCTCCTATGAAGTAACCCATCAATAAGTCAGTCTATCAAGTGCTCATTACTAAATCTGCATCATTACTCTCTTTCATATTGAGGGTTCTTCAGAAAAAAGAAGACTCTACATGCAATGATGAGATATTCGCAAGACCTGCTTTAGTGATAGTTGTGTTAATTTTTATATTTCTCGTATGGCACCTCCCATTGGCCACCTTTCAATAGATTTCTTTAGTATACACAGGTTTATCCCTGAATAGAGATTGGCACACATCTTTAATCTGAAACTGACCGCTGCAAAATACGATCACTTTGATAGCTTCCGATAACCAGACGTTTGAGGACAGAATTGTAAATAAAATAATTTGAGTTGTGTAAAGGATTTTGGTGAAGTAGCCTATGTGCACATGTTTTCCTTCTAAATTCTTGGGCCTCTTTAGGGGCATACTAATTATGTTCGAGTAATAGGAATTCAGCAACTGAAAACAAAAATGCATATATTGTTAAGGATTAGAATCTTTTATCAGCTCCATTCATTTTTGTGCAAGGATTTATCATGCCCCTAAAAAGAGTTGAGTTTGTTATTTTTGTGTTTCCCATGGGAAATGCAATGGCAGGAATAACAAAACAAATATGGTATACCTTTTGGGTCAGTTCAGTTCATACTAAGCTTAAGTGGTGAATTCTGTCTCACTTGGTTGTCTATTTTATGGATATAAAGCTTTCTTCTTTCAATAAGCATATGTTGTGGAAACAGTTTCTTTTTTCTAATGCAAGGGCTGTGTAAAAAGACTTCTCTGCCCAACTGTTGCAAAGGCTAGGTGCTTTGTTGCATCCATATTCGCCTTTTCTTCAAAGAAGAGCATGGTATTAGGTGTTGTAATGCTCAAAGTAGATGTAAATTCCTTTATTTACTCCATGTTTCAAGTACTTCAACTACTTATAATTAATGTAATATTTGTCTGGCTGCTTATCACGAAGAGAATCTAGAGTTGCTTCCCTAATGCTATGATGAGTATTTTACTGACTATGTATAGCATGTAAGCAACATGTTTAATGCATAGAAAAGAAAAACAATTAATAACCTGTCGTCACACGCTTTTTCTGTCCTCCTGATATTCCTCTAATCATTTCATTCCCAACAATGGTGTCTCGGCAGACATCCAGTCCCAGTATCTGGCTTGTTGAGTAAAGGAGTGAGTAAATTTGTGATCTTGTTCAAAAGGTATTAAGGTTTAAAGCTAAGACTTCTTATCAATGCAAGTATAATTAAAACTCAAGTGTGTTCCTTTATTTTTATTGTGATGACAAGTTGAATATCTGGGACTGCTGAACCAATAAGCATATGCAGCACTCACCAGACTCCACAACTTTACCATGCCATTGAATATTTGCAAAATGAGGGTAAATTTGTAAAATAAAGTGACTGCTATGGGAATGTTTTTTGCAGCACTCATTGACATCCTACATTATCTTCTTATAGTTATGGCTTCTTTTAATAGTTTTCGCGCCAAATAACTCTAATGGGTAAAGAATAAACATTCACCAACATACCTTAAGAATGTAGTCGGTAATTAGATTGTTGTCTGCTCCTTCCATTGCAGTAGACTGAACCAAGAAGGAAGATGTAAATAAGAATGAAAGAGGAAAGAACACAAGGAAATGGTAAAGAATAAAGGGAAGTAAAAGATGGAAAATAAAAGGGAGTAGAATGTAAACTAGCATCACTTTCAATTCAAAAAGATCACTATTACACCTTCATAAAGAGGTCAACTTCAGGTTCTGGAAATATACCAGCCGCCTTCTCTCTTCTTGCAAGCTCAGTAAGCAATTCTGAACCAAATCAAAGACTTTTACTATTGTTCTTAAATATGTTGTACCCACTATCAAAGAACGGAAAATAATTATCAATGAATATAAGATAAGTTCTATTAATCACCATAGCGAGATCCTATTCCTTGGCACCTTACAGAAAAGTCGAGTGTTTCTTTAACCGTCATTTCTGCTATGTGAACATCATCCTGACTAACATACGCAGATGTCCTCTGTGGCACAAATTCGTTGAGCGAATGTCCATTGTATGTTACTTTACCTTCAACCTATATATCAAATCTTATCAAGCATGGTTTAGAAGACTTAAAAATGCTTTTCTCTTCAGAAAACCAAGAACTTCATTTTTAAATAACTTATGCTGTTTATATTCATGATGTATAAGTAAACTAACCTTTAAGCTGGAATCTAACTTTCCAGCCAAAGCTTGTAGAAGTGTAGTCTTTCCGGAAGATGGTGGGCCTAATAGAAGGGTCATCCTATTAACAGAATAAGTTCAAAATAAACTGTATTAAGGGAGGACCATATTCAAAAGGGAAATGAACTTTTTCTTGATTACAGTTCTAAAAACATAGCTTAATTGCCTTCTGATGTTTCTTGAAATGATTTATGTTTTAAGCCATTGGTATTTGTTGACATATTGGATGATTCTCGGTATTCAAATTCCGGCCAACTATGCATGCTTTTGGTCATTGTTATTGTCATAATCTAAATCTTTTTACGTTCAAATAATCAAAACTAACACCCTCCTTGTATAAAAGTTGCAATGTCTGACTCACTACACATTTTTTTCTCCCAAATATTTTACTACAAGTCAAATGTCTAAAATATCCTTCAATAACAGAAAAGATACCGAGACTCTTGCGGACCAAAATCAATCTCTTAAAATGTTCGTTATAAGTGATGAAGGTTGCCAAGTAGCTAGTTTTACCTTGAAGGCTTAATGATTCCAGAGGCATCATGAAGAATTGTGAGTTGTGTGCTTTCAGACAGTCTAATGCCAAACAAGGTCAAAGCTGATTCAGCTATGTTGCGGACTGTATTTGCCAAGGTTGGTAGAGCCCTATCACCAATGAAGCAATCCGCTTCTATGTTCAAATGCTCATATCTCACTTCTACTGATGGAAGAGTAACTTTAGCCCTGCACCCAACATGAAAGCTAACAATTATGAGCTTTAAATCGCATGGTAGTTCGTTAATCTTATAAAATGCATGCCATATCGTAAACTTGAAAAATGAAGAAAATTAATTTGCAGACTCGTATTGTGTTTAACAAGCCAGAAAACAAACTCTCTACTCCTTGGGGTAGAGGAAAGGCTGTGTACATCGTACCTTCCCTTGTGTGGGATTACCGTATTACATATCAAGAATAAATTAAATCATTGATTTAATTTATTCTTTCCATAATTGTTATAGTAATCATTTCCATGTAAAATGTAGCTGTAAATGTTTACCTAATTTAGCTCCTAATTAGTCTCCTATCCATGTATACATCCTGGCTATATATAGCCCCTTTGTAAATTGGTTTTATACACTGAAATACAACACATAAATCTCAATACCTTTCATGGTATCAGAGCTGCAATTGCTCTAAAGAGCTGATCCTCCTTCTTATTCTTTCTTACCCCTACGCTTCCAATGTCATCAAAAACCACAATCCAGATTACTGCTGCAACTCATTTCCCAATCAGACTCACCGCCAACAATTTTCCTGTCTGGCGTCGTCAAGTTGAATCAACCCTAATAGGGCTTGAGCTCGATGCGTTCATCTTTGGCGATAAACAGCCTCCACAATTTCTGGATGACAAAGACGGTCCCAAACTGAATCCAGAGTATCTGCCTTGGTATCGTCAAGATCAGATAATATTCAGTGCTATTCTCGGTTGTTGCTCAGACTACATTCAACCTCTAATTTCGTCAGCTACTACTTCACGAGAGGGCTGAGAAAGACTCAATGCCAGTTTCGCCAGTGGGTCCAGATCTCGTGTCATCTCTCTCAAGTCCAAACTTGTAAAAAATCCCAAAGGTTCTCGTTCAATAGCCGAATATCTTCAGGATATGCGAGCCATTGCTGATGAATTTGCGCTTGCACAAAGCCCTGTTACAGAAGAAGATTTACTGGTTCATATCTTATCACAACTTGGTGATGAATATAGTACTATCGTTGCTGCGATCAAAGTACGTGAATCACCATTGTCTTACTCAGAGTTATTTGACAAATTGACTGATTTTGAGCGAGCTCTTAAGGAACAAACTGCAGCCCCTGAACCTGTGCTAACCACGGCTAATTATACTGCAAGACAGTTCAATCGACAACCTGGACGATCGGATAATTTCAACCAGCAACGTGGCACCAACAACCGTTTCTCTAATCAACAACGTACTTCAACCAATCGCACTCAATGGTCGTCTTCAACTTCTGGAGGAAATCGCCAAAACAGGTCCAATCCCTATTGCCAGTTCTGTCACATTCCAGGTCATATGACTCGTGATTGTCGCAAGCTATCTCATTTTTTACGAGACAACAATGTCACTACCAATACCTCTCAGTCGAATGCTCCAATGGCTAATATAACCACAACTGGCTCACCTTCTGCTTCACCAACCTGGCTATTTGACAGTGGTGCCTCCAACCACGTCACTGGTGATCGTTCCACACTTCAAAATATCTCAGACTATGGCGGACCAGATGAAATTATACTTGGGAACGGTAACAGTTTAAAAATTTCACATGTTGGCTCTAAACATATTAACACATCACTCAAGACTCTACACTTACCTYATGTGTTATGTGTTCCACACTTGCAAAGGAACCTTATTTCAGTGGCTAAATCATGCAAGACTAACCGGGTTTCTGTTGAATTTTTTCCATCTTATTTTTTTGTGAAGGATCTTCGCACGGGGGCGTGTCTCATGCGGGGGGAGAACTCTGAAGATGTGTACTATGCCAAACTACCTTCTAGGCTACCATCCATCTCTCAACTAAACGTTACCACCAGAATTTCACCACTTCAATGGCATCATGCCTTGGGTCATCCATCTGCAAAAGTTTTCAAGTCGCTTCTTTCACAATTAGGCCTTAGTTCCAAGCTTTCTGATTTGCATTGCCCATCTTGGTCAATTAATAAGAGTCATAAATTGCCTTTTGGCTCTAACTCATTTGTTGCTACTAAACCATTACAATTGATATATTATGATGTGTAGGGTCCTGTCCAAAGTTCCATTGATCATTTCAATTATTATGTAATCTTTGTGGACTACTTCTCAAAATATGTGTGGCTCTACCCAATGAAAAAGAAATCTGATGTTGCCACTTTGTTTCCTCAGTTCAAACTTCTGGTTGAAAAGTTTTTCCAAACACCACTTGTATCTATCTTCACTGATAATGGTGGAGAATACATTGGTCTTCTACCTTTCCTCAAACAACATGGTATTTCCCATTACACCACTCCACCTCATACACCTGAGCAAAATGGTATTGCTGAAAGGCGCCATCGACACATAGTTGAAACAGGTCTAGCTCTCCTACACCATGCCAAACTTCCCTTAACCTTTTGGACTCATGCCTTTCAAACGGCAGTTTATTTAATCAATAGGCTTCTTACACCCATTCTCAACAATCAAACTCCTTACCAACATCTCTTTAGTCAACCCCCTAACTACACCAAGCTTAAACCTTTTGGTTGCTTATGCTATCCATGGCTACGACCCTACACCACTTCCAAACTCCAGCCCCGTTCTACTCCATGTCTTTTCCTTGGGTATTCTACTTCCAAATCAGCCTATAAGTGTTATGATCCCGTCAACCRTYRCTTGTACCACTCCCGCCATGTTCAGTTTGTTGAGAGTCAATTTCCTTCCAAAATCGACTTCCCTAAGCCCTTGCCCACACCTGACGACTTTCTCATGCCATGCATCTCTTCTTACCAGCATTCTATTCCYTCATTACCTTCACCTTCAACAGAAAATACAACCGACACTACTACTGCCACTTCTCCTATCCGCCTTCCTTCCTCGTCCAACGCAGCTTCAACACAACCAAAACCTTCTTCTGCTTTTCGCCTAACCTACTCCAGGCGTAAAACAAGGCCGGTATCACCTACACCACAACCTCTCTCTCCTCTTTCTTCGAATTCATCAGAAACCTCTCCACCTCCTKCCTCTCCATCTCAACMCTCAACCCAACAACCACCCTCCCTCTCAAGTGCCTCTCCTACACCATCTTCTATTGATTTAACCGACACACCACGTACCGGTTCTCCCTCTTCCTYTCCTGCCACCTCTACTTCCTCTCCAAACCCACAGCCTGYACGCACCAGAAAGAGAAACTCCAAATACTTCAATGACTCATTCATCAACACCACAACTCTTCACCCAATTCCTGCCACCATTGAACCTCATAYACATAATCAAGCCCTTAAAGACCCGAAGTGGCGCCAAGCAATGGATCAAGAATTCAATGCTCTCATGCAAAATGGAACCTGGGAATTAGTACCGCGTGACACCCACAATCCGATTGGCTGTAAATGGGTTTTTCGGGTTAAACGAAATCCAGATGGTACAATTTCCAAGTACAAGGCCCGTTTGGTCGCAAAAGGTTTCCTACAACAACATGGGAAAGACTACTTTGATACCTTCAGTCCAGTCGCCAAACCCGAGACCATTCGAGTCATTCTCTCTCTCGCTCTTTCACACAACTGGCCCTTACGCCAACTTGACGTGAACAATGCATTCCTTCATGGAACCCTCCATGAGGAAGTCTTCATGACCCAACCGCCGAGATTCACTCACCCTCAATTTCCTACACATGTTTGCAGACTTCGAAAATCCATCTATGGCCTGAAACAAGCACCACGGGCATGGTACATGGAATTAACATCCTTCCTTCTTACTTGTGGCTTTCGAAAATCACTAGCTGATGCATCCCTTTTTATCTATAATCATGACAGTACCTTGTGCTTTTTTATGGTCTATGTTGATGATATAATACTCACAGGCAACAACAATGCCTTTCTTGGTCAATTCATTAGCACCTTAGCCAGTCGTTTTTCCATCAAAGACTTGGGTCCTCTACATCATTTTCTTGGCATTAAAGTTATTCCTACCACCAACGGTTTATTCCTATCTCAACACCATCATATCCAAGATCTCCTAACTCGGTTTCATATGGATGGTGCTAAAGAGGTGGCTACTCCCCTACAGTCTTCTATAGTTCTCAACTCCATGGACGGGTCACCAAGTGTTGATCCAACACCCTATCGGAAGTTGGTGGGATCCTTGCAATACTTAGCCTTCACCGGGTAGCCCAATTTATGCACTCTCCCTTGGAGATTCATTGGCAGGCGTTAAAACGGGTGTTACGCTCTAAAGGGTACCATTCACCATGTACTCTATCTTAAAAAGGGCTCATCTCTTGAGCTCAAAGCCTTCTCTGATTCTGATTGGGGCGGTGTTTTGAATGGCGGTCGTTCTACCACTGCTTATATACTTTATCTCGGATCTAACATAATTTCATGGAAATCGGCTCGTCAAAAATCTGTTTCTCGATCCTCCACTGAAGCAGAATACAAGGCTTTAAGCAAATGCAGCAGCTGAGGTTACTTGGGTTCAAAACTTGCTCACTAATCTTGGCATCAAACAGTCCATCCCACCTACACTTTTTTGTGATAACATAGGAGCTACAATGTGCCAATCCAATTTATCATTCTCGCATGAAACATGTGGCCTTGGACTACCACTTTGTACGTGAAAAAGTTGCTGATGGTTCCTTGAAAGTTCTTCACATAAACTCT